GCCCAAGGGCGGCACCAGGCAGCCCCGTCCGCACCCTCCATTCACACCCAGACCAAGGGGCTCGGGCTCCCCACACAGCCCCCAGTGAGCCCAGCCCAGAGAAGGGAGGCGTGCCAGGGGCCAGAGGCAGAGCTGGACCCCATCCAGGGCTGGCACGGCCCCCAAAAGTCACTCCTCCCATGGCATCCATGAGCATCACCCCCAGAGCAGTGCCACGAGGATGTGGGCATGGCAGGGGGGACAGGCACAGCTGGGACCTGGCCCCCTCTGGCTCCAGTGCCTTCCCAGCTGTGCTGAGCCTGGAACTCCCCCCTAAGGTGCTCTGGTGACCACCCCGTACCCAAGCTGGCGACCCCTCTGCTGCCCAGGGGGATGTAGAGGTACCAGATGGGCCAGGCACGAGGGGAAGGAGAGACCCCAAGCTGCCCAGCCCTGGGGACCAGGAGGGCCAGCCCATCTCACCCACTGAGGAGCACACAATGCCAGGCCACCCACCTGGCCTCACAGGCAGGGGGTGCGCTGCTGTCAGCTCCCAAGGGAAGAGCAGCAGCCCCAAAGCGGAGGTCAAACCCATGCCGGGACCCCACAGAGATACCCAGGCGATGCCCCAGCACCAGGCATGAAAGAGCAGCTGTCCTGGCCCGAATGCAGCAGCTGGCTGCTGCCAGGGGCCACTTCCATCCTCCGAGGGGCCAGCTGGGCCCTGGGACAAGAGGCAGGGAGGACGGGCACGTACCTGGCTCAGGAGAAGCCCATCTCCACCCCAGCTATGCTTTGCTGCCGTGCTGGGGCCGGGCTGGAGGCCTTGGCTCACATTTCTGTGTCTGGCGGGCCACCCGGGCACGACCAATATAGTCACAGCCAGGGTGGCCACATGTAAGAGGGGGAAGGGGGGGGTGCTGCTCACAGTGCCGCTCCCCAGCACCAGGAGAGGGCAGACACGGCACAGCCCCGGCACCCCCAGCTCTGTGCCTTGGGGAGCGCGGAGCTGAGGCGGGGGGGTGTCAGCAAGCACAAAACTGCTCGCCGCCTTGACAGCGAGCAAGAGAGAGCAGGGGATAAAGTCTGTGCCGGCCCTCCGCCAGGAGAGTTAAACATTAAATGGCCCCGATTTGGAAAAGGGACGGGTGGATGGACTAGTGGGACACGATGTGCAGCCCTCGCTGCTGCTGGGAGATGGGAAACACCCCCTGCTCCCCAAAACGGCTTTAATGGAGTCACAGAGACAGCCCCAGTGAGCTGGCAAAGGCAGAGGGGTCTGTGCTCAGCTCCTGAGTGCAGGGGGCTGTAGGGAGGCCAGGGGCAGGAGAGCAAAAAAAGAGGGGAGTGGTGGGGCTGGAAGAGCACCAGGGAGCAGAACAATCCCCCTGTCTGTACCGTAAGTCCCGAACTCTGTGGGGCTGGCTCCAGGGTAAAAACTAGGGGCGCCGGGCTGGACTGGGTACTGCTGGGTCGGGACGACGTACGTGGAGCGACCCTGCAACGGGGGAGAAGAAGAAAGGTCAGTTACCTCCCCCACGGGACACGGACATAACCCCAAATCACGGACGTACCCCCAAATCTGCCTGTGAGGCGGCTGGGCACCAAGGCAGGGAGCAGGACGCAGGCAAAGTGGGCGCCAGGTGCCTTGGGAGGCTGTTGGTGAGGGGGACCAGTGGTGCCTGCTGCCTCTCTGCAGAGCTGGGCAACACCCCACTCAAATCAGTGGGTGCTCAGAGAGCTTCGGGGACCCCCTCCATCCCCCAAAACAGACCTAGGCTCCAACCCCAGGCAACACCCCCCACCAGTGCCCACATTAGCCCCCTCCCGTAGAGCCCAGGGCACGGCCCTCACCTGTCCGGGAATGTAATAGGCTCCTTGGGAAGGTGTGTAGGATATCTGGGAGGGTATCATCATCACCTGGGAAGCAGCTGGATACACATGGGCAGGGGGGCCAGGCCGGGCCGTCGTGTTACTCTGCACGCGGGACGCGCTGGCAGGAGGCTGCGCCCTGTTCTGGTAGAAATGCTTGGAGAGAGACGGGGCACGGCATCAGGTGGAGCACCGGCACCCCCACTCGGCACCAACACTCCCGGGGGGAACCTCTCCTCCCACCCCGCACCGGGGGGAGCAGCCTGGCAGTGTGCATCACCCTGAAAAGTCAGTGTAGGCTCAGGGAGAGGGGAGCAGCTCCAGGGGGGATGGGGAGAGAAAAGAACCCCACCGTGCCGGGATGCAGCCCTCCCCACAGAGCTGCCCCCAACCCTGGCACTGTCTTGTCCCCACGCACCTGTGGGGCCACCTGACCCAGCTCATGCCCGGCACGGCCCCCTCCCAGCCCAACATGGGCCGGCAGCTCCAGCACCCGGAGACAGCC